ATTTTGTCAAAATTTATAAAGGTGACTCGCGGCTTTGCGTAAATAAATGTAAATTGTTTTGACAGATTGATAGATAGATTTTTTCTTGAAATCTTATCTTACTTGAAATTTTTCTCTGGAGCGTGAGTTCTGACACAATTTATTTTGTAAAAAAACGAGTTTAAAAAATCAGAAATTAAAAGCAATTTTTTTCTTTTATTGTATTTGAAAGTAATTAATGGCATTCTGGCCGGGTCAAAGTGCACGTGTTCGCTTTTAAGTAGTAAAAATCTAATTAAAATTAATTCAGCGAGAAGTGTAAAATGTGTCGATAATTATATTTATTGCAAATAGCAAATACCAAGTTTAAATGTAATGAGCCGACAGTGTTTATGGCATTTATTTCATTTTATTACCCTGCAAAGTGTTGCTAGAGTCACATATGTATGAAATAACGATTACAGTAATTCGTTTGAGGAACAAGCACGACGAGCACAAGACTTAACTTAAAACAAAAAATTGACCATTTGTTTAAAATTCCAATGTGTAGTCTCATGAAACGAAAAAATTTTTAGCTAACAGGAGAGTTCACGTTGGCACTTCCAATATTTGAATAACTTTCTGTCACGTTTCAATATGTAATACGAAAACAAATCTTTGCTTTTTCGCTAAAAATCCAAGTGTGTTCAAAGCTTGACTTTTGCAAGAGAATTGAAGTAAAAAACTTGACCTTTTTTATATTTTTTTACTGAGAATGTAAAAAATTGTTATTCATTATACAGGAAGACTTTTAATTAATCCGAATCATTTTAATTCTGTACTATACAGCGTGTTTTAGAGACGAGAGTCTCAGAGAAAAATTTCAAGTAAGACAATATACCAGGAACATAGAAACTTATATGATTTTTTTTTGAAAATGGTTATCAAAATACAGCTTAACTCAGTTTTTTCAAATAACATGACCCTATTTTCGATTTTTGTGTAAACTTTTATCAGCATGTCCTCTTTTAGTTTTTGAAATAATCACAAAAACGAGTTTTAGCTCTTTATTTTCATCGTTAATCATGTAGACTTTGGAAAATGGTCAATAATTGTTACATTTTGACTTTTTAATTAGTTTTTAACTTATTTATTATCGAATAAACGGTAAACCAACAATAATTATGGCTTGTTACCAACCAATTTATACAGGATGTGTCAGAACTCACGCCCCAGAGAAAAATTTCAAGTATAAGATTTAAGATATCTGGAACACGAAAAAAATGTTTAAAAAATTATATCTGTCAAAAAATTCAAATCAAAGAGTGTCTTTTTATCCTTTAACGCGCAAAGTTAAAGTTGTTACCAACCAATTTATACAGGATGTGTCAGAACTCACGCCCCAGAGAAAAATTTCAAGTATAAGATTTAAGATATCTGGAACACGAAAAAAATGTTTAAAAAATTATATCTGTCAAAAAATTCAAATCAAAGAGTGTCTTTTTATCCTTTAACGCGCAAAGTTTCATATTAATCGGATAAACGATAACAAAAATATTTCCAAAAAATCATGTTTTCATACCGATTCTTAGAAAGCTGTAATTTTTCTATTCTATTGTCATTTGTAGAGAGGTATTCATGGCTATAATTATACCACACATTTTTTAAACACCCGTTATATGATATCGTTTTAACTGAAATTTATTTGTGTATAAATAATGGAAAAATCTAAACACAATTATAAATTTTGTGCACAGAAACGAAAAGAACAATAATTAAAACTACGAAACCTTTCATCTACAAACTTTATTTTCGTTTATTAAACCATGATTTCAATTGAACGTTGAACAATCTCAATAAAGGAAACGAACTCCTTCAAAAAAATGATTGTATTAAGTGATAAGTAGTTTTTATACATATTTTTTATTTTATATGTATACAGGGCCCTCATCTCAACTTAGCACCCCCCATATAAAAATTTGCCAGTTCGCCCCTGCTTTCAAATTTCTAATAATAACAAAAAAAAAATAAAATTGTATAAGTAGGTATTAAAATACGAGTTGCAGAACTGGATGTCCCCAAGGGTTTGAAATTCCAAAACAAGCCATCACATAGCGACGAGTTGAGAAACAAACGATTGCTTGAATTACCTTCTGTAACGACTATTTTATAGATATTTACTAATTTTTCTATTCTGTGATGCTTATTATGCTGTTAAAAAAAATAAGAGAATTTTAGGTCATTAGTGACATTAAACAATGTACAGGGTGGTTCCGTTTTAATTGCCAAAAATTCAAGAATACTTAGAACACGTAAAAATAATCCGATGAGTTTGTTTTGTAAACTATTATTCAAAAACGCTTCCTTACAAAATAAATAAATATTTCTTCCTTAATATCTCATAAACAAAAAGAGCTACAAGCTCCAAATTTTACGGACAAGAGATATGAGACTTGATGTCTTCTGTTTCTATTTTTTTTTTCAGTAAATTAAACAAATTTCAATTACTAGAATATTTCTCTGATATTTACATATTGCAAACGCTATGCTGTGATAAAAACTTAGATAAGATAAGATTGCACTTTTAAATAAAATTAAAAATTATTATGTATTCGATTTGCAAACTTGGAAAAAAATACTATTTTTTTGTTAAAAGGTGAAAAAAAAACGTTAAAAAATTCAGTTCGAACTGACATGTCATTACCAAAATTTGGAAATTAATTCACAAGATTTTTTCATGTTTGCCACCGATAATTCGAAATTGGCAAGTTTATTCCAATGGCATTGTCACCAACATAAAAAGAAATACACTAGGCTGTTAACGCACCCAATGAGTGTTAATTGTTCGGTGATGCAAAATAGAAAAAAATATGGAATACAGACTGTTCCGTTTTTATTGTTACAAATTTAAACAGATGATAGAATATTCAATTTTGAGATAAACATGTATTGAAAAATTTTAAATAAGAGAACTACATCCCCTGGAAGGGATGCATCTTTTGATGGATTTTTTCCAATATTTCAGAAACCATAGTATAGACAAAATTATAAAATTTAGTACAACTGATAACCTTTATACACTCAAACGAATTCAAAAAAACTGGGGAAGGGTAAAAAGTACTCTAACTATTTTGGCTGTTGGTTCTTGCCACTTTCAGCCACGAAATTCTAAATTTCATAGATTTTCACAGAAAAGAGGTCTCTTGCGTTTTTTCGATAAAACTTACCGTCTTTGATTAAAATCAGTTTACAATTTGACTTACAGACCATAAAGAGGATAAAAATTTAAAATTAAATTCGTTTTACCGTTTAAGATGCTCGTGATTAAAAATTTCGACAACTGATCTTTGAATTCGTTCAGGTGTTTAAAGGTTCTCAGCTGTATCAAGTTTTGTAATTTTATCTAATCTGCAATAGTGACAAAACCCCATTAAAAACGCATCTCTAGCTCACTTACATAACATTTTCAGATACATGTTCATAGGAAACTTTTGTCTTAAAATTGAATATTCTATCACCTGTTGAATTTGTAACAATAAAAACGAAACACCCAGTAAAAAAAAATTCGGAATAACTTTAAAAATAACTTTTTTAATGCAATTTGTTTGAAAACCATATCTTAAAAAATGAAATAATAAATAGCAAAGGTTCCAAGTTTGCAACACTGTATAAATTAATAAAATACTTGGCATTTTCAAATTTTCTTCTTAATTTTTTTGCTAATTGAATTAACTGAAAAAAAAACGATAAACATTAACATTTGCAACGATTTGCTCCTAATGTGAGCCTCATGAGGATTAAGAAACCGTTTTTTATCGCATTTTTATTACAAATTCATTGTTATTCACCCAACATATCAATAAAATATCGATTTTACGCATGTATTACCTCCCAGACCGGTCTCAGACCAGTTCCTTCACTCATTCCCTATATTTTTTCTTATTCTTCTATACCTAATACTCGACTGGGAAAGAATCCAAGCGGAGCTGTTCCATAAATAATCCATTTTGTCATTATTTTTTTCCATGCATTAATCTCAAAGTTTTTTGCGAAAAAATATCAATTAAATTGTTTATTTTATAGTATGCCCCCCTTTTGCCCCCTTTACAAAATCACAAAACACCCCTCTTCCCCCCTAATCAGTCCTAATTAAGTCCAATTAATTCCCATCGGGCGGTTCTAATTAATTTAATTGAATTGGCCCCCCTGTTGCCATTGATCGCATTAATATCCGGCTTGTGTGTACGGCACCGACTCGAACTTATGGATTTTCCTATCCATTACGATTCGGAGGAACGCGACTGCGTCCCTCACTCCACCGAAAACGTCGCACAAAGAGAACAGAAAACCTGTTTCGAGCAATAAACGAGTCTCGTGCAAAGGCTAGGAGCCGCTTCTGAACGGATGTGCAAAGAGGGCCAAGAGAGGAGCACTGAGAGAAACAAAAAAAATAACTCAGTTTATGCAACAATCACAAATAGCCTTATTTAAATTAAAATAGTAATAATAAACCAATTTTTTTAACTACAAGTTTCAATAATTTTTAGTTTCAAATTTTCTACAAACACCCGGTTTAAGGCTCGATAACGCGAGTTATATACACGACTCGCGCCCCGGAGAAAAATGTCCAGGAAGCTAAGATACCAAAAAACATGGAAAAAACTCTGTAAAAAAATTTAACATTTATTTTTTGACATTTAATGTTACCGATGATCTTGTATATATTTTTCCCTAACTTACTTGTCATTTTTCTCTGAGACGCGAGTTCTGAAACATCCTGTATAGTCCGATCACGTGCTCATTGTATCTCTGATCAAGGTAAAGTGTGGTCTAGAGATCACTGAGATTATTTTTTATTTTTTTAATTTAATAGTTTAATTTTAATTTACTTTTATTTTATTTCTATCAAAATATGCTTACTATGCAAATACAAGATGTCCGTTTTTCGAGCTCCACCATCATGGGAATCTCAGTTATTATAAGAGATACGAGGTCGGTTAAATTAGGGCAAAGTTGTGCATTTTTATGCTGAACAATTATCTGAAAGAAAATTTAATGTCATTTTTAGTTTTTGAATTATTGGAAAAAAAACGGAAATTTGTAATTTTCGTTTTTATTTTTTCAAGCGAAAACTAAAAGACGTACACGTCTAAGATGTTCTTAAGGCACTTTTTTACAAGAAATCTAAATCTGTCATCGTAGGACGCCATATTTAGTTTCTATGTTTTTGGAAAGTTTTTTTGTTCGTGATTACAACGATGTATCACACGATATGATCAAATTTTACATGCTGATCAAAATTAAGAAAAAGCGTTTTTGCGAAGGGTGCTTTGAAAAAATAAAGCACTTTTCGCAAAAACCGCCAACAATTTTATTAACTATACATACTTTGAAATTTCAATTTCAGATTTATTTTTTAGATATATACAAATAATATATTATTTATTTTATTTATTTATTATATTAATATTGCAAAAAAATTGCCACTACATAAAACAACACTAATAAAAATAATTAAAATAAAAAAAACAGTGACCTGCCCGCACGCACACCACTGGTAAAAGTAAAAATAAAGTAAGCACCTTCAGTGGCTTAGAAAGTCTGTGAAATTTTATGAAAATTACTCAAGTGGTTTCGGAGAAACTAACGGATTTTAATTTTTATAATAATAAATTTTATCACCCTGTATATCCGTAACGAACTATCGTTTATTTGACAGATTAGTGTTATTTTTCGTCGTAGAATGTGGTTGCAATTTTTTGCAATATTAAAAAAAAACTAAATATACAGGGTGTTAAAAAAAGATTGTAAAATATTTCAGGAGGTAATAGTATGGACCAAAACAAACAAATAAGTCTTAATAAACATAGGCCCACAAAGTAACAGTTGCGGATATCGAATGTAAATTTTTTTGAATTTTTATTAAAAGCTTGTCTTTTTTTTGAACATACTACAAATAATTGTTTCAAAAACGAATAATTTTAGATTTGTTTGTTTTGGTCCATACTATTACCTTCTGAAATGTTTTACAATATTTTTTAACACCCTGTATTTTTACAAATGCCTTTTTCATTTTAATCTGCATATTTTTTTGTCTGTTTAATTTTTTATAATTGGTTATTTATTTACATTTTCTAAATAAATAAAATAATATTCAACATTCAATAGATTTGCACAATTCAGTAACACAGATGTCAAAGAAAAATAAGTCGTAAACTCCGCATATTTGTTGTTTCTTCACTGACTTGTTTTTCTTTACTTACTGCTTATTTAATTTGCATACTTTTTAAATTTTTTTTACAATCAACTGAGTACATTTTTAAAACGTATATTCATTTTCTGTTCCAACTGCGTAAATAAATCTATGTAGTGTAAGAAGACAAGAAATTTCAAAGCTACCGTTAGTTAGTTAGGATTCGTAAAACAAAAATTCGGTTACACATTTGGCCAAAATAATTTAAAAAAAAACTTATTTTTTTCATGTTTTTTAATTTTTTTTATGAAAACTGAAGCAAATAACAAAAAAGTAAAAATATTTCGTAGTGAAACTAAATTATTAAAGCAGGAAAAGTAAAAAATATTCACTTACCTTTTTAAGGCCATCCAGATTTTCCAGATTTTATGTTATGTAAGTACAATCAGCTTTTATTTTGTTTTTTTAGTTTTTTTAAGTTTTTACGTAAAATTTAACTTTGAAACACCTTAATTTTTTTTATTTAAAATCAAAACATCAAGTTGCAATTGTTTTTTTTTCCAAATTTTCTCCAAATTTAATAAGAAATTTTAAAAATATACTAAGTAACATTTCTTTCTATCCACAATTTTTAGGTAAAAAAAATCAAACTTCTCATACATTCATTTAATCAAATATTTCAGTATATATACAGCGTGTTCTATACATTACACATATCCTAAAACCTACTTAAACATATCTACCATGATATACATATTTATATAATAATGAATAAGTACAGTCTGAGCGACCTCATACATCGATAACATCGAAACAAAGTGACGAATTTAAAAAAGTGCAACATGAAACAATCACAACACAACAAAACCATAACAAAAGTCTTAAATTAGGAACATAACTCACTGGGACCATCAGTACGTCCGGTCCTTAAACCGGAACTTCCGGTTTCGTTTCCGGCTCCACTTTCTTTTCCTTCTCCCCGTTGTTATTCTCCCGGATCGGCGAAGGATTCATCGAATTGAGTCGATTTTGCTGCTGACGTACCAAAAGACTCGGATTCGGAATATTCCGGATCGACTGATTCTGATTCGGCCTCAAATTCCGGATTTGAGGATTCATCATCCGGAACTGGCCCTTATTTATCAATTTGAGGTTTGGAGGAATCCTCTGGTTCGGTGATGGGATTTTGAGGGTTTGGAGGTTGGGAAGTTGAGGCCTAGGTTTAGGTTTGTTGAGACTGGGGTGTTCAGTCGCCACTTTTGATAACATTTGGAGGTTAGACATGACGTTTTTGTTGTCTTTGGGAGGTGTAAATCCATTAGGGGGGTCCCCCTCCTTACTTGGAGGTTTCGACGAAAGGTCCAAAGCCCCGATGTTGTCCTTCGGAATTATGCTAATCCCAGATTTAAAAATAAGGGATTTTTTAATCCTATCGAGAGGGATGGTGGCTGGAGGTGGTCGTTTGGGGGTTGGAGGTTTGACTTCGGGAGGATTAATTAGAGTGATTTCGAGACTTGGGCGTTTCTCCTCCCGTTTTTCCTCCTTTACTCCACTCTCGATTTTGCTCACGGTGAAACCTGGAGGGTATTGAGGGGTTTTTTCAGAGGGTTTGGCCTCAATGGTACATCTTTGTTGTAAATTGGCGATTTTTCGTTCCAAAGTTGAGGGTCGATTGGCACTTTGTGTTTTTTCGATCGTTTTTTGGTACTTTTCGGCGTAGGCTTGGTACGATTTGAGGAAAGTCTTTTTGGCTTGCTGTTCGGTTTGTTCGTTTCTTTCGATTTGTACAGTTGGTACTCTGTGTCCCCACTCTTTATTTAGTGTGGTTTTAACGGGAAAATCACTACGGAGGGTCTTAGGGGCTAGATCTGGTATTGGTTTCTTCGTTTCTTCTTTTTTCTCTCCGTTGATTTCTTCCGGTTTTGGGCCTTTTTCAGTTTCTTGCTTCTTCTCAACAGCAGCTTCAGTGCTTGTTTCCTTGGAAACGGTACCACTTGACACAGTCTGGATGTTCTTATCTTCACTCGAGACATGTTTATGCCTGACTTGCCTCATCTGAAGCAATTTCTCTTTACTACTCATCTCACTTTTGTGGTGTTTGTGCTTGTGACCGTTGTGTGGAGTCAACTTAACCTTCAACTTCAACTCTTCTTCATTTGTAATCTCAGCATGTAGCTTCCTCTTCTTGTAAACACAGTCATTCTTCGAATGTTTGCTCTTCTTCCGTTTCTTACTGAAATGGTGGTAATCTTCATCCCTTTCTTTCTCCCGACTTTCATCAAGTTTCTTCTGGAGCGCCCACTCCCGGTCCCTAATCTCAGCAAACCTCTTAATTTCTTCCTTGTCTTGTTCTTCATAATCAAAAACGCAGTCTTGTGCCACTTTTTCAGGTACGTTATTCTCGTTTTGTACTTTGGTCTTGCTCTGCAATTGAAGATTGGCCAAAAGTCGTTCCTTTTCTTCACTTTCTTCCGGTTCGGGTTTGGGGATCACCGGTTCGCCATTTTTGACAATTTGGAGTTGTTTGCCCGAATTGACGATTTTAATTGGTTGAATTTTCAACGGAGTGAAGATACGATAGAAGAAACGCAACGGTTTTAACTGAAACAAATGAATTTTTTCTGTGTTGTTGTTGTTTTCACGCGAAATTACGGAACGGTGACATTGCGGTTCAACAACCTGGCGGTAATAATGACAGACTTGTGGATCGTAGTAGGCCGCGATGGGACATGAATCGGAGAGACGTGGCGGCGCCGACTTGATTAATATTCAACAAGTTGGGTCTAAAGAGGATAATTAAGTGGCGATTTGTGACGTAATGGATTTTTTTTTCAGTGGTTGGTATTGATTATATAGCGAATTGGTGTTTTAAGTAGAAAAAAGCTTGGGCGAGTTGTTTACTGTTCCACTTATACGGTCTTGAGTTCAGCTATTCTTTGCATGTCATTGCCTAACAATGCTTTTTCGTGTTATCGTTGTTTGGCATCTTTGTTTCCACACAAGACGGTTTTGTTGGAACTAATAATTATTTCAGCTCCTTTAAAGCTAAAAAATATTTCTTTTTTTTCTATATAACAATATGGTGAAAATAGGATGTGATATAAATTTCATAATCTGCGAAAAAGTGATGTTTATTAAGTCAAAATGGTGCGCCAACTTATAAAATTGTAATTCGACTGATTCAAAAATAAACGGCGAATACTCGACATGTGAATCACCCTGTATAATACAAATAAATTACTAAATTAGCATTTTTTACTAATTTTTGTCACGAATAATTAGAAATAAAACCAAAAATAACATAAACAATGCTCTTGCAACGTTTCGTTATTTTACTTATCCTCTTTAGAGTAAAAAATAATTTTTGTCTCATTTAATAGATGTCAACTTGATAGCTAAAGCTTCTATAATTCAAATATTAAAAAAAAAGTAGAAACATTTTGTCTAACCAGCACCCTACAAAAAATTGCAAAGTAAGATAAGATAACAGAAACATGAAAAAAATATTTAAAAATTCTATCTATAATAAAAATTTCAAAATTATGAGAATTCAAATTTTGCACTTTGACCATTTGAAAACATTGAAACATTTTTGTCTACTATGAGACAAATATACAGGGTGCTTTAGAACCAACACCCTACAAAAAATTGCAAAGTAAGATAAGATATTGGAAACATGAAAAACACATTTAAAAAATTCTATCAATAATAAAAATTTCAAAATTATGGGAATTGAAAATGTTGAAACAATTTTGTCTATTATGAGACAAGTATACAGGGTGTTTTAGAAGCAACACCCTACAAAAAATTGTAAAGTAAGATAAGATATCAGAAACATGAAAAAAATATTTAAAAAATTCTATAATAAAAATTTCAAAATTATGGGAATTTAAATTTTGCACTCTGAAATGTTTGAATGTTTGAAAACATTGAAACATTTTCGTCTATTATGAAACAAGTATACAGGGTGCTTTACAACCAACACCCTACAAAAAATTGCAAAGTAGGATAAGATTTCAGAAACATAAAAATTTTTTTAGAAAATTCTATCTATAATAAAAATTTCAAAATTATGAGAATTCAAATTTTGCACTTTGACCATTTGAAAACAGTGAAACATTTTTGTCTACTATGAGACAAGTATACAGGGTGTTTATGACGAACACCCTACAAAAAATTGTAAAGTAAGATAAGATAGCTATTAGAAAAATAAAAAAACATACCTATTTAAAAAATTCTTTGTATAATAAAAATTTCAAAATTATGGGAATTCAAATTTTACACTTTGAGCTTTTGAGAACATTGAAACATTTTTGTCTATTATGAGACAAGTATACAGGATGTTTCAGAACCAACACCCTACAAAAAATTGCAAAGTATAAGATAAGATATCAGAAACATCAAAAAAATTTATCTATAACAAGAATTTCAAAATTATAGAAATTAAAATTTTGCACTTTGACCCTATTTATTTCTGTTAATAATTTTGCTGCAGACTAATAAAGCAGGAAACAAAAATGTATCCTGATGAATAGTAACTATTTGTAACTTTATTTATGGCTTTAATTGGCAAAATTTTTATACTCGTACTTTTACTGCATAGTTATGAAAAAAAAAACATAAAACATGTCAAATGTAAAAAAAAATGACAAATAGAATTTTTTAAATAATTTTTTACGTGTTCCTGACATCTTACTTATTGGCATTTTTCTCTGAGACGCAAGTTTTAAAACACCCTATATAACAAATTATGTTATGCAAATTTATAAAATATAATTGATTTGTAAAAAACTGAAGATAAAAAAACAATAAAAAACAAGGCTGTTTCGTACTTTTAATTAAACTTCTTCAGAGTAAAAATTTTATACTCATTGTAGCATAACTCGAAAATAATTTGATTTCTTTACTTACTTAAAATTTTTAATAAACCATAAAAGACGAAAAATAACTCGTTTTTATATTTATTACCCATCGAAAAAAATTACAAAATCAGGATTCCAATTCCAACTATTCCAATTTTCTTCTTATTTAGTAATCTTCTTGAAGGTGAAAAAACTATTTTTTTAGGTATTTGTGGTAAATAATTCTTTTTTAATGTTTTCATTTGCATACTAATTTTTCAGTTTAGGTTTATCTATTTATAATTTCTGAAAAAGTGTTCTGAATCTGAAACACCATGTACAATAGATAGATAACTTGAAAAACCCTCAATAATTTAATTTTTTTATTTTTCATAATAATTTAATAACTAAAAAATTGAAAAAAACACAAACAATGTTTTTGTGACGTTTAGCGCATTTATTTAAGCTTCTTCAGGGCATAAAAATTACTAATTTGCGAAAACATTGAATTTTCGCGCCTACTACGACCACTTTGACTGAGGAGAACACTAAAACAGAACTTACCCGTTTCCACTTAAAGGTGTAAGCGACATCCATGAGGGTGAAATTCGAGTGTAAAACCTCCCCCTCGTAGATAATATCAACCTGTAAAAACAATTTTCCATTGTAAACAATCGAGTGTTTCTACAGGGGGTGTAATAAAATTTCCATACCTTATGATTCTGACTCAGGGCAAACTTCATCCGAATAAACTTTTGCAAGTGTTTCATCGAAACAGCCGCCGGACATTGCAGATATCTCTTATCACCGTTTTTGCACTCTTTTTCACCATTTTTAGTACCGTTCAATTTGTGTTTATCACTGACAGTATCACTATTATTATTATTTAAAACACTGACACTTTTGTCCGACTTGGGTTTGGTCCCATCAACAGGAGTCTTGTCCAAATGGATCTGGTAGTACTCTAACGACAAAGAAATGGAGTCTTCGGGGCCGAAAAATTGAGTTTTACTGCCGGTATAGCTCGACACCTGAAACTCAAGTTATAGAAAAAAATTAAAAAATTGTCGGGAAAACTACCATTGAATCCTCATCATTTATTATCAGGTCGCGTTCACGTTCAAGGACACTGTCATCGCTGCAGGAACTACTCGCCCTGACTCCAGTACTCCTATAAAAATCCTCCCTTCGTTGCATTTCCTTCGAGTACAACCCTGGTACCACTTTATACACAATGGATTGAATTTGGGGATCGGCCTTGAAAAAAACTTGGTTTTTCTTCTTGTAGACGAGATTACACGACGGACAGGCCGTTTTGCAGTTCTCAAAATGGCGTAAAATGCACCCGCGACAGACTAAAAAACAACATTTACAACTCTCGAGTTCGGTAAGTGGCCACTTTCCGACTTACAAACATGGTGACATTCGGTAAGCGTCGTCGCGTCGATCAAATACCCGTTACATAGAGTACAGACGAGCACATCGTTCATATCCTTGACCAGTATTTTCCTCATTTTGTTCATTTCGTCTCTGGAAGAAGAAGAAGAAAAAAACTAGAGTCCGCGTGTGGTCATATGAAGAGTGACGCTGTCATGCCTCGCCTGGGCTCGAACAGGGCCCCTCCCCAGCTCTACGCCCACTTCTGACTGACCCCAACGTAATTACACACCTGGCGGTCAACGGCGAGATGTTTGTTTAATTTTTCGCGCCATTTTTGCGCCCCAAACACTAAATTTACAAGGCCATGGTCAACGGAGATACCGTTCAACTGTGATTTATGACAAGGTAAAGTAGGCACAGTTTTATTTCTGTTCAGTTGGTATTGCAAAAGCATTTAGTTATACATATAACATAACCTCAATATAGTGTATTCCAACATTTGATAATTTGCTGGAGTTTTTAAATAATAATAAAATTAATGACTTAATAAAATTACATGATAAATTTTAATAAAGTCGTGGTGTTTGTTTGTAGTAATACGATTATAAAATTGGTTTTTTGTTTCTTGTCGACATGGAATGACTAGAATTAATAATTAGAAAACAACAATTTTGATAAAGTTGTAGCGTTTGCAAAAACATACAAATACATATTTTGTCTAGTACCTATCTAATATAAGTAGGTACACCAAGAATTATGTATTCAATGTTAGTTTATCAAAATGGTAGAACGTCCATAAATAGTATAAACGTGGTAAAAAATATAGGTTTGAAAAAAATAAGTTACCTACCTCTCTGATAAAATATTTGTTAAGAGTGAAAAGGAAAAGTATAGTGAGAAGACTACAAAAATTTAATCAAATGAAATTATTATAATAATAAAACTGTTATTTTTCAAAATCATAATTAAGTACATCTTACAATCAGTGAACTACCGTGCGATCAAAAAAAATAAATAAATCAAAGTAGGCGACGATTAATATTCTACAGTTGGCAACACGTTGGCTGGGAATCTGGGCTGAAAATTTTCCACACATTATTTCATTATTTCACTCAAAATGAAACACACACTTGTCAAAGTTTCCGCTGACATTTGACGTCAAAAATCAGAATTGCCATCTGAAGGACTTTAATCACCACCTACTCTAATTTTTTTTTGATTGCACGGTACCATTTGTTGAATTAAATGTCAGATCAAAGTAGCCGGTGACTTTGAAATTACGTTAGTGACATTGAAAAACATAAAAATCTTCAATGTTGCCAACTTAATTTTAAAATCATAAATCTTAACTTCTCGTTAGGTACTATGTAATTTATTACTGTGGTAAATTAGATATTCTTTTGATTTTTTAAACTTTTTCAAGAAGTAAAAAAAAGAGTAAAAAACAAAATGGGAAATCATCAAACCAAAGATTAAATCATGTCGGTAAAGCAAATAAAAGAAAATCACCGTACAAATGAAGCAATAGTTACTTTGTCAATGTTTGTTTATTGAAATAGTAGTACTATATAATTTTTATGTTTTTGTAAATAGCGTAAATATCGTAAGAAATAGAGTTTTCAAAAAAAATAATGATAAAGCACAGTTAAGGACACGGAATTTTGGACAATTTGTCATTCGAGTGACATGAAAATGTAAAACAGGCTTTATGTGCAACTAATCTCACTTTCGTTTTTTGTAATATTTATCCTGACAACTAGAGAAAAAAAATGATAATAAATTAAAATAATTTTTGAACTTTACAGGATGCGCCAGAACTAGCGCCCCAGAGAAAAATGCCATGTAAGATGAGATACCAGGAACATGGAAAAAACATTAAAAAAATTATATCTATAAACATTTCGAAGTTATGAAAGTTTCAATTTTGCACTTTGACTATTTAGGTATTTTTGTTGGAAAAATAATTTTTCAAGTTTTTTTAAAACATTTACAAGACCATCTGTAACATTAAATAAACATAAAAAAAATGTCAAATGTCAAAAAATGTCAATTTTTTTCTATGTTCCTGATATTTTATCTTACTTGAAATTTTTCTCAAAGACGCATGTTCTGACACGCCCTGTATAAAAAACGTGGAGTATAAAAAACAAAACTAAAAAAAAACAATATTTAGTCATTATTATTGTATCGGAAAATTGTTGCCAAAAATAAATTTCAATTAAAACTCTCAAATTTTACTTTCAAACGTCAATTATAATGACATTTGACATTTTTTGAATTGACAAAAATTTGATGTCAAAAGTTCCGTGTCCGCAATAAACTGTACCTACTTGTCAAAAGTCAAGAGAAAAAATAATGAATAATGAAAAAACTTAATCAAATGAAAAAACTCTAGGTAATCAATAAAACTGTTATTTTACAAAATCAAAATTGATTATGGGTACATCAGTGAAATAAACTAGGACCATTTGTTTAATGACCTATTTAATTAAAAAATGCCAGGTCAAAGTAGCCTGTGATTTTGAAATTACGTTTGCGACATTGAAAAACATAATATAGTCAACATTCGTCAATGTTAAGAGTAAATAACCAAAATAGAAAATCATCAAAAACAAGAATAAATCATGTCGATTAAGCGGTCATTTCCACATTTCCAATAAAACTAACCTAATTTACTAATAAAGCAATATTTGAAAATTGAATAAAATGTTCATCGATGTGGTAGAGCTGTATAACAACAAAAATTAATTTAACACATTTGTTGCCGATAAAACTGAAACATTCATAGAAAACAATCACATCGACATAATGCGGTCATGTTTGCCAACCTATAAAAACAAAATTCGAAAATTCGACTACACCCATAATTTTATTAAATTCGACGACTCCCTTGATTTTATTATAAGTACAGAGTGTTTTCTTAATATTGCGACAAATTGTAACCACATAACACTACTTTATCAATCAAATAAACTTCCTTATGGATATACAGGGTGATAAAGTTTCCTGATGAAAATTAGAAACCTATAACACTACTTGAGTTATTTTTATAAAAATTTTCAGGTTTTGTGAGCCACTGAAAGGGCTTATTTTCCGCCAATTACTTTATTTTTTCTCTTACCAGTATGAGCACTTCATTAAAGATTTTTGTTTTTTTATTAGTTTTTTGGAAAACACCCTGTATTATCAGACAAGCATTACAATAACGAAATTTCCTTGTCTAATGTCACTTGATAAGGAAAATTTAAAAGCATAGTTAAAAAACAAAATTCAATAGTTTTATTGATAAGTGCATGACGTAGCTCAATACAAACTGCAACAAAGTTGGAAACGTTGTAGTACAAAACCCGCACGTAATAAATTCTCTAAAACTATCACCAGATAAAACAACATTTTCACTAAAACACGGTAATACGGAAAATCAATAATTTAACATGTAGGCTATGAGTGAAGCTAATAATTAACACAAATACTTTGCTTTTAAAGTGATAATTTGTCTATTTAAATATGGAAATAGCGCGCTGGTTGAAAACCAAAAAAAAATCTTGTTTATTGTTAAATAATAATAAATTAACCCTTTCCACCCTTTCGTTGTATTCCACCCGCTATAGCTCATCAATAATCCCCGCCACCCCACCCGCTCGTCCCTATTGGTGGATAGTCACCCCTTGTTAATTGCACCGGAGATCCCTCACACTCGATGCCACGAATGCCGATTAGGGAGAGATTTTAGGGTAGACGAAGGGCCACACCCACCTCTTCGCAACTTCTGCGAACCTGGTACGCATCCCTTCGAAACCACGTGTCGTGTAGGCGAAACAAGGTCGCCTCAAGGGCGCATTTTTATTGTTAGAAGGGACGAAGATTGCGTTGAGTTATTTGGTGGCGCGGACGCGCGCTTTTGCGAAATTATTACAAGGGTGAGAGAGATTATTTCATCGATCGGCGGTGAGGGTGCGTGGGGAGAGGAAATTTCACCCCTCCCTTCAAAATAATCACAATTTTATTATAATAATGTTAAAAAAACAATAAAAATAAATAAAATTGATGATTACAAAACGATACGATATTTTGTACATCTTGTATAAATACTGCAACTTTTGGGCTAATTTTTTCTTAATTTTAAATGTTTTTTTTTGTTTATTATTTAATACACAAGGCGCTCAAAGAGTGGCGCAATAACACAGTGAGGTCAGCACTTAAATTTTTCTTTAACTATTTATTCAACAAAAAATTACCGTTTGCAGATATGACAACACTGTTATTTTCTTTTAATAAAATTAGCTGATAACAATGTTTTTTTTAGCTGTAAAATTTAGTTTGTCGAGAGGTTGTGAAGTTGTTTTTCTCTCCTAGTAGTCAATAATCATTTTCATTATGGACCAAGGGCTATAATGCATTAGAGGTGGGTGGCCGATGTTGGAGGGTATTACATTAATACAAATATTTCTAGAATATTATTATTAAAAACTAGATTACCATCACTAATACTAACAGAAGTATTTCGAGATGAAATTAATACCAAATCAAATAAAAAAGACTTAAATTGCTTCATTAAAAAACATCAGAATAACCCAACCTTTAATTCTTCTGTCTATATCGAAACTGTCAAAACAACAAATGGGCTTATTTCTTGTTAAAATACTATCGATAGTGAGGCCACTTTTAACACTTTTGCCCTTTTCTTTGCAGTTTCTTTGTTATTTTAACAAATACCGTGCGATCAAAAAAAAATAGTAGTAGTAGGCGACGATTCTACAGTTGGCAACAATTTTTGTTGGAAATTTTCCACACAAAACTGGAAGTGAAAATGACCATTTACCATTTTCATCTTGTACAGCATTTTTGTAATAACTTGCAACAATAAAAATTTTCTGCTCTAAAGCGAACATTTTTTCACTCAAAATAAATAAAACCCAAACTTGTCCGCTGACATTTGAAGTCAAAAATCAGAGTTGCCATCTGAAGGAGTTTAATCACCGCCTTCTCTAATTTATTATTTTTTTTTTTGATCGTACGGTATTTTATATTATAAAGTTAAAAAATCCCTTTAAAATAGTCGCAGAAGTACAAAAGTGACATAACCTCATTAATGATAAAAAAATACTTTCAACTAAAGCTAATAACTCAGATAAGTAGTTAATTACTGTAGGTAATAGTGAATTACTAAAAATAGTGGTTGTAAATTACATGTTACGTCTGAAGCAACATGTCCATTAAGTAGGGTTATATTTTTTCACCGTTGTTTTTCTGGGTAATAAATGTGTTAGTAGTGAAAAAAATGTTATATAAAACACGGTAGAAAAAAAATTTATAGCCTCGCATTTATTATTTCCCTCGATGCTATGTATCTCGGGAAATAAACAGCTCGACTATATAAAAAAAACTCTCTTTTTTACCTGGTGATATTAATATACCTACTATTGCCCTGGAAAATTGTTCCCGAGGTTTCAAGAAATATTAATTTTTACTGATGATCATTTGTAATCCATTAGACAATGTTGACAAACAAAAATTGTTAAGATAAAACTTAGCTCTAAATTATAAGTTTAATGATTTTAAAGCCAGAAAAGATAAAATGTAAAGAGGTGACTTCTACTCTCAAGATACAAAAATAGACAAATAGGTAACTAGAAATCTCATTTTTTTTTGAAAGAGAGAAACATAATGCGTAGAGTAGGATTTTCATGAACTAAGAAAAAAAAAAAAGATGTACAGATCAAATGAAAAGCTTATGAGTTTTAAAGAAAATATTTAAAGACTAATAAATACAAAGAAAAAATGAATAGCTCCAAAGACTAAAAATTTACAAGTTTAAAGGTTTAAAACTGCAACAAATATGTCCAAAGTACCCATTAAATAACATGAGGGTATAAACATGAAGTAAAGATTAAAGAGTTTAGAGTAAAACATATGAATTAAAATAACAGACATCATAAAGTGGTTGAAAATGAAATGTTTTTAAAGACTGAGAAATAAAGAAGATGCAAAGATTAAACATAGATTGATTGAGATGTTTGAAAGATTGTGAGCTTTAAATATAGAATAAAAAGAATAATGGAAGGTTAAAGAATAGAAAAATATTAAAATTGAAAAACAACTAAATTTAAAAACATCTAAAACTGAAACGCAAGTATAAAGATTAAGTTAATAAGGTTTTAGCGAGCATCAAATTTTATAGAAAGATACCTACTGATCTGAAAATAAATAAACAATCCTTATTTTAATCTTTAAGAAAAGAAAGATGGAAATAAGAAAAAAGGGATACATATAGAATAAAAAGATTTACCCCAACTTGCATCTTGCATGTTTATATAAAGTTAAATAAGACTACATTAAGTATTCTAAAAATCTTCAAATAGTTTACATTTACTTAATTTTTTATTGTATTTTAAGCGTAAGTTGAAAAAACGAAAAGCGAAACTAACTAATAGGGCGGTTTCTACATTCAGGTAAAAATTCTCAAATTCAAAGATTGCTAAAATGGTTCAGATATCGTCTTTTTGGCTCTTGTTCCTTCCCAGTTTGAAGAAAATAAAAGAAAAAAATTAAAGATAAGGCTTGAAAGCTTATTCATCATAAGTAAGAAATAATACCTAATAATAATAAAAAAAATGATTCATTTTCAACTGTTGGAATAAATTTAAAAGTCACACGTTTTGGTGATAAACAAGATTAATTAAATCACTTTTTTGAGCTACTCTTAATCATAGTAAGCCATGATTTTATATTAAAAAACTTAAACCCTGTGAATTTATTAAAAAAAAAACAAACAAATTATCAATCATTTTATGGCCAACTAGGTCACACTAAAATTATAAAAGCGTGGCTATTAATATACTTACCTACTTAACAATTTTTTTTAATTAATACTCCAGTCCTGACCTGATAAGTAGTAATAAACCCACGACATATAAAAAATACAACAATGAAACCAATTTGTTAATTAATCAGCGCAATCAGAATCCTTAATTATAAGTTAATTAAGAGAATCCGTTAATTTTATTCGTAGTAATTAAAGAAAACGCTAATAAAATTAATTTAATCAATTGCAAATTGTGACGAGTTTTTTGTATATGATTGCAAGTAAATGACGCAATTAATATACAGGGTGTGTCAACAAAATCACATTTAATCGTCAACAATTCCAACAAACAAACTCATAAAACATTCAAGCGCTTGGACGCCAAAAATAACCCGAATTACACAATAGCAATAATCGTAAATAACGATGATAAACATTGACATTGGCGCCACCACGTGATCACATTACAAAATGGCGTCAGCACGTGTGACAAATTAAAAAAAACTGCGACGATCACATGACCTGTTATCGATCAATCGTCGACATATTAATTTTTCAATAGCCTACTGGGACGCCAACAGCTGAAAACAATTAGATAAACAACGCCGACTCGGATCTGAGTTTTTCAAAAACGCACCCCTCAAAAAAGGGATCGGACCCCGAAATAACTGCATCGTAGAGTGCCGCGACGAAGATGCAAAATACGAGTGCGAAAGAGATGGAGATAAAACAAACGCGCAGCAAAGGAGAAACGTATAATTTAAGAGGGACGCACTCTGCCATTACAAATGAGTTAAAAAAAGAAAACGGAGACGATATTACCGACAAAGGGAGACAGAAACAATGAGAGGGAGTGAGATGGAGAGAGTCGAAGCAGTTCGCGTGACATGATATATTGTAAATAAAGAATCTTCAGTTGTTTCCATGGCCTGCTATTGTTTATTCCGTATGTCAAATTTCAACCCCCCACCCTTCCACACAGACTGACAAACCCCAATTAATTAGGCAACCAATCAACTAACTATTATAATTCATTAACTAATTGATTCATAAATTAATGGTTATTATTGTTACTATTATTAATAATAAATGTAATATTGTTGGGGTCACATGATGTGTGGCTTCCTTGATTTTTTGTGTGCAAACAATTGTGTTATTGTAATTGGAATAAATCTATCAAGTTACCTCAGTCTTGCGCATTCAACTGTCACCAGCGGATCGCTCCGGAGCACTCAGCGTTAAAAATCTGTCCCGTACGTGGCAACGCCGCCCGAGCGTCGATCCGGCAACGCCGCATCGCCTACATACACAGATACTGTACTGCATGTTAAAATATTCCGGTGTTGAGCATCGTTTTTGGAGGTTTTCTCGCGCTCGAATTTCCACGAAATTTGCACAGATGAATCTCGTGACTTTTCCGAATCGAACACCGTTTTTCCCGTGCGAAAATTCGGTCGTTTTCAGGTGGAAAACACTAAAGAAACGTCAACATGTTCCCGCAACTAGAAATTACGGTGTACTAGTCGAGCTTCGGTTGTTTCCACAGCCGCTTCGACCCGCCTGACTTCGACTCCGCCCCTGGCCAATCAGAAGGGAGGATTCGTATCGACGTCACGCGGGGGTTAACGAACATCGACGGCTGATGACGAAGTTATAAACGTCCTTTCCGACGCATTCCATTTTGTTATATGCCACATGTGTGGGGTTGATTGTTGGAGGTTTTGGAGGTTTGGAGGATGAATGGGGGAGGAGGAGAAGGGTGCGCGAGGCGGCGGGGAGGTTTATGATGGTATTGAGGTTGTTAAGTCGTAAATGGAAACGAGATGGTGGAACGGTGACTGAAAGTTGAGGTGGCTTTGACGACTCACGTGGGGTACCAGAATGATGCGTTTTTGTTATATTTTGACAGGTGGATGCTGCATGACACAGTCATAGACCACTAGATCGGAAGTGTTTTGACTTACCACTCCTGAATTATTGCTTGATTTGACATATTTTTATCGAAATGTTCATAAATGACGTTTATTTGTAATCGATGTTATAGCTCAATCATAAAAATGTTATTGAACTATTTGAGGAAAATTATGACTCAACGGGGAATAGTTATATGTTTGTGATTCAAAACAAAAATAATCTATTCTGTTTTCTATAGTATCATTTACGCAAGACATGTAACACAATAGGTAAAATAATACCTAAAGATTATAGAAAATATTGTGTTTATTATTCTCTACATTCTAAATTGTGAGTTGGAGAGAAGTTCGTTCATTCCTTTTGTTGGCTATTCGTCAGCGAAGCGTGACTTATTGCATTGCGCTGAAATAATGGCTGTAATAAGCAAAATTTTAAGCAAATGACGCAAAATAAAAGTTCTAAATCTTTCTCAGTTGATAATTTGAGTTCATTAACAAAGAGTTTCATAAACACTAGCAAAAATAGTACCTAAAGTTAGTTAACATTTAAAAAATACTTTCAGTAGAAAAATGTACATATTGTAGATACTGTCTACTTATACGGAGTGTTCAGACTTGATTTGTGTATAGAACAACAGAAACAGAAACAAAAGAAACTAAAAAAATATATTTTTTTAATTAAACCTAAACTTGAGCTCTGCAATGATTATATCAAAAGCACTCGCAAAAATGTATCTTTGGTACCTGGTTTAACAGCCGCTGGCTTCTTTCTTCTCCATTGCCCTTGTTTCCCGGTGAAAAGAGATAATACGACCTTTCTGAAAACACACAAGAAGCAAGAAGCTCGACTTTGAACGGCAACTCAAAAATGGTAGAAAGACATCATTTAATAAAGTTAAGAAAAGCTTATCGAATAAAATAAATAATTTATACAATAATTATATAAATGACGTTATTTTATTTTATTCACAATCATAAAGCATAATAATAGTTATTTATTCGACGAGATTGAGTGTAAATAGAACGAGTAGATATTTAAACCACGAGTGTAACGAGTGATTTACCATCCACGAGGTGGAATAAAGCGTCCGATTTACATTCAAACGAGTTGAATACAACATTTTATTCTCCGAATTAAACACAACATCGTTTTTTTTTTTCAATTTTTTCAATTTCATCGTTCCTTACCAGTTGATATGTAATTTGATAATTTAGGTTGGGAAATGGCTACTTCCTAACCCCAAAACCGATAAAACAGTGACCACTTTCCAACCTGAAATGTCATAGATATACAGGCTGCGCCAGAACTCGCGCCACAGAGAAAAATTTCAAGTAAGATAAGATACCAGGAACATGAAAAAAATGTTTAAAAAATTCTATCTGTCAAAAAATTTTGACATTTATTTTTTGACATTTGACATTTTTTTATATCTATTTAATGATACTGATGATCTTGTATATGTTTTTTTTACAATTATTTAGTAAAAGTACAAAAATTTTGACAATAAAAGCCACAAATAACATTGAACAGAGTTACAATTTAGGATACAGCTTCCTTATTTCCTCTTTTAATAGCCTATAGCAAAAAAACTTGGAAAATTATTTTTCCAACAGAAATAAATAGAGTCAAAGTGTAAACTTTAAACCCTCATAACTTCGAAATTTTTATAGAGAAATTTTTTTTTTTCCATGTTCCTGGTATCTTACCTTATATGACATTTTTCTCTGGGGAGCGAGTTCTGGCGCCCCCTGTATGTCATGTTTTTCGAAACTTGATAAATTCTTTAAGGTACATACATGGTGCGCCAGAACTCGCGCCCCAGAGAAAAATTTAAGATAGCATACCAGGAACATGGAAAAAATTCTATCTGTCAAAAAATTTCGACATTTACTTTTTGACATTTGACATTTTTTTATGCTTATTTAATGATACTGATGATTTTGTATATGTTTTTTTACAATGATTTAGTAAACGGACAAAAATTTTGCCAATGAAAGCTACAAATAACTTTGAACAGAGTTAGGTACAATTTAGGATACAGCTTCCTTGTTTCTTCTTTTAATAGCCTATAGCAAAAAAACTTGGAAAATTATTTTTCCAACAGAAATAAATAGAGTGAAAGCGCTAACTTTATTTTAATTTCATAACTTCGAAATTTTTATAGATAACTTTTTTTAACATTTTTTCCATGTTCCTGGTATCGCACCTTACATGGCTTTTTCTCTGGGGCGCGAGTTCTGGCGCACCCTGAATACCTAAATAGCAAAATTTTGCCGTTTACATTTTAAGTTTATTTAACAATTGATTTTAAATATACAGTTGTTGATAAGTACGTAATATGACATTTCAGGTTGGGAAATGGTTACTTCCCAACCCGAAAATTGATAAGATAGTGACCACTTTCTAACCAGTATATCTACTGCCATCATATGTCATGTTTTGCAGAATTTAATAAATTCTTTATTGACTGGAGCATTATTGGAGGATGATTGTGAATAAAATAGTATACAAACCTTGGTGCTCGTTGTTTCATCATACCACAGCTTATTGCTAATTTTCGCCTCGGTAGGTAATGGAGCATTTCCGACCTCGGAATGTAGTGTAAGTCCGTAGTTGTAGAGTTAAAATAAAACTACAAGTACTTAAATTGTAACTGTCATTTTAAATTAATTTTACAATACCTACTTAATTTGACAGTTTCTCCTTTTTTACCTTATACCTACCTACATTTTTTAAGTTTCAGTTTCTTTTTTTTTTTCCTTTGTCCACAATTTGAACACATGTCATCACGTTCTGTGCAATTTTTATGCACCTAAAGTTGGCAAATGATACACTGAAACCAGTCTTCAATAAGATGTGTTTCGAAATGATTCTCTCCACAGCTTTCATTGTTATTTTCTCCTCTCCCTTCACCCTCTTCATCTGATAAATCGCCTAAAACTGACTGTTCGTCATCGTCGCTACGTCAGATATCATTAAGGATTTCCTCTTTTGTGAGACACTTTTGTCTTTCTCAGTCTTAATTTTTTTTCTTAGTTTTGTTGTCTTTTTTAACGCTATTCTTGGCAATTCTTTTTAACATTTTGGCATTTTTTACCTCTTCTTTACATTTCCTTACTCAGAACATTTTGACGAACTTACATGCGCTTTTTGTGTTGTTTACAGTGGCTTAAAAAATCATGTCGGCCAAAAAATTAAATTATGACGTGGTGAGCATTGTGCAATGTGAATTATTTTAACAACAGTGCAATACCTAAACTTAATTTGATTTTTCACGATGATGAACGATTAAAAACTATTGCATATTGGTGGTATATCAAATTCAGTTGTGGTCGTAGTTTGCTCATTGAAAAATTTCGTAAAGATCATCTAAAATCAGTTGTTACTTCAAAAAACGTTAATGCTGTGCGTGAAATAATTTTGTCATGTACCTAACATATTGTAAGATTCAGACATCTTATTTGGACATAGTGAGACTAGCATACATTCAATATTGCAAAAAATGTTTTGTCTTGAATCGCTCACAAAAACGGCCGTGTCGATTTTTCACAGTAAAAGCACAATAATGGTGCTTCATCTTCATTTTTATTAACATCTAACAAGTGGCTAATTTTTTCTTTTTGTCCTCTATTTCCGAAATATAAAAGACAACCCTCGGACTTGCTTTTGTTTTTTTATTCGAAAATATTTTTGCCTGCAAGTGTTCGTAGACATCATGACTTGAAGCAAACTGAGTGATTGCTAGCGACACCTAACAAGTGTTCCTAATTTTTTTTGAGTTGGCCATCTCCCCCGAAATTACCTATACCTACCTTATCTATATTTCATTTAAAAATCTTTCAAAAAGAAGTTACATTTTCTACCATTGCTTCGATCAAATTTGATATTGAAGCGTAAAATATGTTTCATTTTGTATTTGCCGTAATGTAAAAGATGGAACATAAAGATGTTAATAAAAATGCGAGAAAAAAAAGTAGTAGCTTAATTTTTTGAAAAATGTAAGGTGTTCTGTGTTTAAACTGTTTCTATTAGATATGATATCGCTGTTGGACCTTTCATTAGGTATAGCTCACGGGCAGTTATTTATGAAATAGTTGCGAAATAGAAGTCTTTTAAGCACGCGACGTAAATAACAGTGACGTAAACACGTCAATTGCTTAAGCAATTCTTTCGCAATGTGTTTCATACATTATTTTTTCTACAATCACCAATAATTTTTATAATAAATGGAAAATGTGACATTGTTAAAAAGTTTTTGACATTGTCAAATTGACAGAATTGCAAAGTTAACGAGTAAAACAAAATCGATCTTGTTGCCGAGTTGTTCTTTACAAACAATAATTTGCAAAAAAATATCGGAAAGTTTATCTACCTAATTTGAAAAAATAAGGGATTCCAATAATTTCTGATATCGAAAATGCAGCAAAACCCGCTATGAATAGGTACCCTTATACCAGAGAGATCAAAATCTGTGTATCAAGCAACTTACGACAAATTTGAAATTTGGTGCAAGGAGAAAAAAATGGTTACCATCACGGAAAAGGTAGTTTTTGGCTATTTTTCTCAAGCTTCAAAAATTT